GGAGGTGACCACATGGTGTGGCAGACCTCTCCTGACCCGCCCGCTGCTCCCCTCAGCAGTGTACTTCGTCGATCTGCTTGTTCTGCTGGCCAATGTCTCTGATGAATCCACTCACCCTCTGCATCTCTGGCCTGTACCCCGGTTCTGTATGAATAAATAAATCTTAAAAAAAAAATAGGAAGAAGGCATCACTTTGGAGACCATGCTCTGGGGGGGGGGGGGGCCCTTCCCTCTGGCTACTCTTTTCTCCTTGGTAAATCATAAATATACACAATTTCTAACCTCACATCATTTTCTGCCTCCGTAATTCCAAGCTCAGCCACCACTGTTCGAAGACTCAATCTCTCAAAGTTCCACGGTCACCCATGGAAAAGCAGCTTCTGTCTGTATTTCAAGAGCTCCAAATTTTTTTGCACCTGCTCTTCCTGTGCTGTTGCTCCAGCATCGGAGGTTGGCCCTCTGCTCCAGAAAGGTGACTCTCCAAGTGCACTCGTGAGGTCTCTTTCTGCCGCCCACCGCCCGCCTGCACTGTCTAGTCTGAACGACCCAGCACCTTGGCCTGCCTGGCCCTCTGGCCTAGATGCTCACAGCGTTGAAATTCCGCACCCCGAAGCATAGAGCTCCTCCAGCTCTGTCTGTTACTATACAGGTCTCAACTGTGTCTGTCCTCTCTCAGTCTCACCGGCAATGAACTGGGACTCAGGCCACCCGATTCTAGTCCCACTCCTGACTCCACTGAGCTATATGACCTTGGACCTGATGTCTAACCTCCTCTCTGACTGAGGGGTCAAAAGCCATGATTTCAAAGGCCCTTCCGGCTCTGATACGCTGCTGAAACATCCAAGGCCCATCCCCCGCTCTTGCCTGCTGAACAGCTGAGCAGAGCAATGGTAGGGTCTAGAGCAATGGCAGAGGATGAACTCGCCATGAGCAGCGGGCAGGGGGTGGGGCCTGCAGATGCCAGCTGCGTGCTCTTTCTTCTTTCCCATGCAACATCCTGGCAGTCATTTTTTAAAAACACTGCTTTAATCTCTACTTTCTCCTGGCTGAGGGAAGGTGATTAATGTTTAAGAGCAGCCACCTGGGACCCACAGAGGAGAACCTTGAGCAAGGTAGGTTGGTTTGGCAGTTTCATTTTGGACATCATTGGTCAGTGTTTTGTTTTTCGTTTTTGAAACAGCCATATCTCTTCCCGTTTCCTGCCAGGCACTAGGCTAACAGATTAGAGAGGTAGGAATGTCTTGGTCCAGGTCAGTGGGAGAATACAATGACTAGTCCTTCTGGAGTTCATCTGCTTCCAGAAAAAAACAAGTTTTCTCTTCTCACTATGGAGGTCAAGAGACTTGGGTACCTCCTATTTCATTTCCATGAAACATCCCGGAGCACCTTGAACTAGCTGAGGGCCCCAAATGTGGGGATTTATAAGGGACAGCAGCCCCCCCCCATGGTGAGACTTGCGGTAAGGTAAATTGAACACGTCCTATGCATGCAATTAAATACCTGGCTGAGCTAACCTCCTCATTATTTTGAACAGAAACCACACATCTCGGAACCGGGCATTTCAAAGACTGGCTTCTGCTAAAGTTCACAGTCCGAATGCCCAGAATCTAAGCATGTGTTACCTTACAGGAAAGGGAGAAATGATCTAGAGAAGCTGCTAGCCGGGATTTCCAGGGTGGGTCCCACACAATGACAAAGGGAAGGAGGCAGCCCTTTCCATTAGTGAAAGAACAGGAGCAGGGCCTGGAGCCCAGGCGGGCAGGCAGCCTCTAACAGCTGGAAAAGGTCAGGCGTTTCTTGTCTTGGAGTCTTAGAAGGAACAACTCCGGGGCTGTTGCCTCCAGAACTGTAAGGGAATAAATTCCTGCTGCTTTATGCCACACGTTGCGGTGATTTATGACCGCAGCAATGGAAGTAAATGCAGCTGCCAGTGGGCTTTATGTTCTCATTAAAGTATGCTGTGATAGTGAAGATCAGTGTATAAAAAAATGATTCAATTCACTTCCACAAATACTGTCTGAACCACTCTTAAGTGCCAGACAAACACGGGCCAGACTGAGCTCAAGAAGCCCACTGTGTAAAGTTCCAGCAGCTGCTGATTTGCACTGAGGTAGACAAAGGACCTCACCAGGGCCAGAGGGCAGGGCAGCTCATGGATATCCGAACGAGCATCAGCAAAGGCGAGGAAGCCCCCAGGAAACTGTGAGGACCTCAGTGGCAGCGCTGTGCTGTCCTCAGAGCTGGTAAGGGGGTACTCTGTCTGCAGGGGCTGGACAGTCACCCAGAATCTGTGGGCTGAGCACCTTCATTCTGTGTCAGGTCTGCCCTTACCCTGAGTCACCCAAGGCCAGTGACTTCATTTGACTCATTTGAAAAATTTCTTCTAGAGGGATAAAGTGACCAAAAGAAGGAGACCACTCACTAAGGCCTCCACTGTGGCCAGGTAAGGAAGAGCCAAGCTTTACTTCCGGGAGAAGAGGATAGAAGGGACAGACGGGAGAGGTACTGGATGGTCAGCAGGTAGGACTGAAGGTGAAGGTGTGCTAGAGGAGGGGGAGAATTCAGAACTCTGGGGGCCCTGCTGGGACAGCTAATTCCCTTGCATTGGGGTGGGAGAGAAGGTTTGGTAAAGGAAGCATACTGAGCAATAGGTGTGGGTGCTTAAGATGCAGGTAGTGGGGGGGTTAGGGGGGAGGCAGGCCCACTAAGCAGTTGCACTCAGTCCCTGAGCTCAACCCCAAGGAAGAAAGGCATCTAAAGGCTGAGCGGAGGCCAGGGGCCCAGTGAAAGTGGAGAAAGATTCTGGGAAAGGGCAGGTCCAGGAGAACTGGCAACAAAGACACCAGGGAAAGGGTGTCTGGGCAGAGTGGGAGTCATCAGAGCAGCGATAGAGACTGATATTTACAGTAGGGAGGGAGGTCGTGGTGACCCTGGCCTTCTGGGCCCTGTCCCTGGAACAAGGAGTGCCAGGACAGGAGACTGAGGAATGCAGGAGTTAAAAGAACATTGATTTTTTTTTTTTTAAAAGCTTCTCATTCTGGAATCTTCAGTGAACCCCATGTCCCACCACACAGCTTCAGCAACACACCACCAACTCACTCATGCATAGAGCTTTTCCTGCTCACTGTTCAGGTCCTTAGAAGACCCTGTGCTCACGGGTAAGAGAAATCAAATATTTTCTAGAACTTGTCCTGCATTTGGGCTGGGGGTGGGGGGTGGGGGCAATGAATTGCTTTATGGTAACCAAACCTCCACAATCAGAGAATTCTTGCCAGACTAACCTGGCACCATCAGCCCGTGTTCTAATCTGGGAGGAAAGAGAGGATGGGGGGGCCACTGAGGCTCTTTAAGGAGCCTTCACCCATGGGGCCCTCAGTGCTGTCCACCCCTCACGTCTCTTTTCAGAACCATTGGCCCTCAGGCTTCTATCCACGCACCCCATTGGCCTGCACGGCCCAGGGCCTCTGTGTGCTCATCTATCATCTATCAAACTACAGAGCTGGCCCGAGTGAACGTGCAGGTCCGGTCAGCGCCTGGATCCCATCTTTTCCAACAACAAAGTCTTCTGGATGTCTGTCTGTCTGTCTGTCTGTCTAACACAGGGTCCTGCCACTCAGCAGCAAGAGCCACCTTGTTCTTCGCTCTGGCTCACTCCATTTACAATGCTGGATGAGGAGTCACTTGCTAAGGAGGCGCTGCTCTGTCCCCTCTCCCAGCTCAAGGAAGGGGAATCAACTTTTTGTTTATACCCCAGGGAGTGGGAGGTTTACCGAACAGCCAGTGGTGCCTGGTTTTTAGCAGAAGTGAGCACCTTTCCCGGTTTACTGAGCCTCTGTGTTTGCAAGGCTTCTCCTTCCTGTCCTTTTGCTGTTCTCCCTGCAATGGCATCTCGAGGGCAGGCCTTGGAAGAATGTCAGTGCTCACACATCTTACGTGACAGCTTCAATTTTTTTAATGGCGAAGAAGGCAAAAGACTGCTTCTGTTGTTCTCAGTTGAACGGCATTCGACACACCCGATAAGGGCTTGATCCGTCTTTGTGGAATGAATCAACAATTCTTTATCTGAGTGGGTTCTATTAAAAAAATAGCCAAAACAGAACCGCACAAACTTTCCCTAAAAATCTCCCTTGCAACACTCTCAGGGAAATGTTTTCCCCTTCTCAGGAGGAGCTAAGGGACATGTGCAGACTTCGTAAAAGTTACCTTGGCGACCTTTCAAAATCCCATTGATGGTGCCTGGACAGGTGGTACCTAGAATATTCAGTGACAGGATATTCCATTTACATAATAAATCGGCGCGCTCTGTTGTTGGAAAGGCTCCCAGGGAAGCAAAATACAGTTTTTTCTAAGTGATGAATTGAAACTTGCCATCCTGCCACTTTCATTTGTTAGATTTAGCTTTGCCTTCTGGAGCAGTCCAAAACCAGCTGACCATGTCAATTATGAGATAACACAGGCAGCAATTCCTCCTCCCCACTCCCCGCCTCCCTTTCCTATTAAACTCTCTTCCGTTCATCTCGCCAGATCTCCTGTTAGCATTCCTTGCCTTCAGAAGATGATGAAGACGTCCACAAACTCCATATTTACTCAGATCAAATACATGCTATATCTGATGTCAGGAATTTCTGGAGACTAGCACAGCACAGGTGTTTAATGAACAGTGGTTATGATAAGGAACCAAGTCAAAGAAAAAGCCCACTCTGAAGCCCTGCCCCATAGGAGATGCGTTAATATTGGCACTTATACGAACTACATTAAGACTCATTGAAACAGTCCTTCCCTCTCAGCTTTTCTTCCCTTAGAAGTTTTATGCCACCAGAGTGGTCATGATAGCAGAAGGAAGGTCCCACGTGCAAGTAAGGTCAAACATACAGCACAGATATGTGGTCCAAGCGTCCCATTTCTAAACAATAAAGAACTTCTCTCCTCTGCTTCACCTGCTCACAGCCCAGAGGGAGAAGGAGTCCTATTTTCGAAACTTCTTTGCCTAACTGTGATTATTTTCTGATTATACTTTGAAAATCTTGTTTTGGGGGCTGGAGGAGGGAAGAAGGGACACCATCGCCCTAGATGGCCAATCCAGAATGGTGCACATAGATTCTCATTCTGTGGGCATCACTAGTTCCCAAAGCTCAGGTTCTACTTGGTCAACTCAACTGGTTTTTTCCCTTTTCACAAGCTGAAGATGCTCAGGGCCAAAGCCGGCTACCTCATCACCTGCCAGCTGAGCAAATGCATACATTCGGCAAGAATCCTTCACAGGGGCTTCTTCCTGAGCGCCACAGTCAGTTTGAATTGTATATTGGAAATTCTACCACCTACAAATAATCAAGGTGGCTTAGGCAGACTAGAATTTGTAGCTAACTCTGGAATGGAATCTTGCTGCTAATACTCAGAGCAACTGCTTCTCACTCCCAAGAGACGGGAATAAACATGTGGGGGTGAGTACCAGCCAACATCTGAAAATATCATCCTCACTGGCTTAGACAGGACTTGGTATTTTAGATGAGGGAGCTCTCCTCTAAATGCCCAGCTCACTTCCTCCAGAAACTTCCACCACACCTCCAGGTCAGGGATCCCCTCAAAAGCTACTGGAGAGCCAGTCCAGTCTGCAAGTTTACTTAAACCCTCTGCAAGGCTGAAGAGAAAGCCCCATCCAGTCTGCATGCTTTCTCTTTCCCTCCTCACGGCTGAGCAACAATGCAGTTTCTGTAAGCAAAAAATGGCTGCTGGTCCCACCAGGTGGGGAGTCACTGGGGGCAACTAACCACAATGCGGGACTGTATGTATCTCTTTTATCTTGTCCACTGGTCATCATGGTCTTTCTTTCAAGGAGAAAAATTTCAAGACTGTCTTCTTCCCAAAGATTGAGTTGTATTTTTAAATAATAGCACATGGAAGAATGGAGCTGGAAGTGCCAGGCAGATGGTCAGGCTGGCCCCAGAGCCCTGGAAACACACCCGCCCGATGCAGAAATACCTCTCACTGCAGAGCTGCAGCCTTTCCATCGTTACATTCTTTTCCGAGTGGGAAGAATTCCATGTATTTTGACTACTAATTGAGACTGATATTGAGTCAGTCTTTGGCTATTAGCCCAGAGCTAAGCAAAACTGCAGAACATCATGTCACCAAGTCCTCGTATTAAGTGTTGAAGAAGCACACAAGGCCCCTTATACCACCTGGTGCAATCTACTTATTTCTATGTTAGCTTCTCCCTCGCATGCTCACTAGCTTTTTCTCTAGCTGCTAGTTATTTCCTAAACTTAATTACTCTGACAACCATCTTCCCCAAAGAGTCAAATGTGACAGAGGACCAGGGACTCTGGTGCCATTGTAGCCTGTGACTGAGGTGTATGCCACAGAGAATGATGACGACCAAGGGTTAAATAAAACAAAGTCTTGCCTTCTGAAAACAACAACGGCTGTGATGATGGCAACACACATGAAAAAAGCAAGTGAGCTTTGCCAGACACTTAGAACACCATGAAGGGGAGAAGTGAAAATCGGGTGGTTACCTCTCTCTGAATCCGGGCAGGCATGAGGGAACAGAGCAGAAACAACATGTTAGCATTCACACGGCATCCGGTAAAGAAAACAGTCCCGTTCACAGCAACGCTGAGTGCTGACATCCCGCCTCATTCCCAACTTCACTGCAATTAATAGCCTTTTCATGCTTATTTTAGCTGAACTCTATTTGCACAGAAGTGTGTATTTTGAGCCATGTTACGATGAAGCCAAGAGATGCCAGCTGAGTTTAGAGCAACATATCAACCGGGGGAGGTAACTAAGCTTAAAATATCATAGTCAAATACAGGAAGCTGTTTGCAGTAAACACTGGCAGAGGACTTATCTTCATCTTCCAGCTCCACCTGCTCCCAATAAAAAACATACGGGAACAATGACCCAGAAGCAGCCTTACCTGTTTTACCAACACTTCTGACATTCTATTAATAGAGTCACAACATTATCATGGAAACATTTTCACTGCAATACATCGAGAGGCCAACAGAGCAGAATGGGGAGTAAAGAGAGAGAAGTGGGCAGACCAGCAAATGAAAGTTCCTGGGGTGAAGGCAAAAATGAGCCCGGGAAGAGGGCGGAAAGGGACAAAGTGAGCAGTGTGGGGCTTGCGGCCCAAGCACTTTGAGTTCCAGTCCCAGGGCTTCCCTGAGCCCCCAGGGTGACTCCTAAAGTCACTTAGCCTCCTGACCTGCCCATCAGCCCATTCCCTTCTGGTCGGTCACAGCCCATTGGAAGGGCCAGAGCACACTGTCTCCCCTCCTCTGCAGGGTCACACGCCTAAGCTACACAAAGCACCTGGTCCGAAGAGGCAGGGTAACCAGGAGGAAAGGAAAAGACAGCTGAAAAGAAACCTGTTCTTTCTGGCACCCTGCGCCTGGGTCACAGAGCAGCCAGCCTTGCAGGGCCCTGCAGAGATGCTGGCTGGGACCATGTGGCAGACAGCGAGCAGGCCAACAGGAAGCATAAAGGCATTAAGCAGACCGAAGAGTTGCGCATCCTTATGCAGGGACAGGGAGCAATGCCCATGGGGTATTGGGGTATTAAGTGGGGGGCGGGGGTGGCCAGGGAGGAGGGACAACTTACAAGCAAACACTGCAAGTATAAGGTCTCAGAGACAAAACAACAAAGTCTCTGTACATGTTCATCTATGCACAGTGACAAATGTGGAACAATATTGTCACAGGGCAGCCCAGTATGAAATGGGCTGCCTGTCTGTGGATCCTCACCCGCGTGCTTAGAATTCAATTGTTACTGCAGGCACACACAAAAGGGTCAAAAATGGTTTTATGTACAAAGGGGAAAGGAAAAGGAACAACCCAGGAAAAGAGAGAGGTGCAAAGTAACTAGAATATCCTACCAGCTTCACTGACTTGCACCTCCAGTAACACACCAAAAGCCCATCAAGAGCCAAGGGACCAGCCTCCAGCCACATGGTCCAGAGTGAGAGCACATCTAGCATGGCTCCTTTATATACTCCCAGAAGTTGCAGAATCCCTACTTAGCTCTGGGTCCTTGGGTCCTTGCAGTTCTCTCCTTGGTACTTCTGGGAGTTGTAGTTTCAATAACTGGAATAGGGGGTGGAGTCCACAAAACTCTGCAGCATTCCTTCAGGACACCCTTTCCCCCTAACAGTATCTGCACTGGTACATTTATCTTATGGTGCATGGAATTTTTTATTTACTATTGTTTTATTTACTATTATTTACTATTGTTGTATTGAGTAACACACAACAAGCACATATGATTTCTATAATAAAAACATGTAAACACCTACCTCTCATTGTTTGAGGGAAAGCAGTGTGATGGCATGCTCAGGTAAAACACTACGGTCCCTGACTACCAGTAAGCCTCTGACAACTCACCTTTACTGAGCCGTGGCTCCAGATGTCCTACAGCAACTTCAACTACTGTTCTCACTGGATGAAGAAATGGGTTCAGAGGAGCTGGATCAAGGTCACACAGCCAGGATCTGGTGAAGTCAGGGTTTACTAGGCCTACAAGGCTCTAAGTCCTGTCTTTTTGGAAATCGCCTATGATGGGTGCCCTACATTTCACTGCAGAACCAGCCAATGCATGTCTCCCAAGTGACCCACAGGTTTGCTAGGCACATGTGTTCAAGAAAGGGCTGAAGGGTTTGGCTGAGAACTGGGTTGTAGGGAAGTAGGACAGGCCAGTCCCTTTCCTGACATGTGAATTTTTGGTGGGCGAGAAGCCAGCTGAAAATTCACAAGCAAGTCCCTGTGGACTGAGAGACTAAGGGAGTTGTTCAAATACTGCTGTAGCTGTGTTCCTTGGGGCACATGACTTACCTCTTCTTTTTCCCGGCCACCCTGCTGGTAGGTGGCAGCTCCTCAGAACCTGCTTCTTTATCAGTGAGAGGGGGATAAGGACCCCTCTTGGGGGTAATCATGAGGATTTAATGTGCAGAATAGTCCCTGACAGGCAGGTAGCAAACGTCTCCCAAGCAAGGAAGCCCACCCTAGAGGAGTACATGTGGCCTGCACCTCAGATTTGTGGGATACTCTTTGTCACGGGATAAGGCTGCATGTCCCTCTGTGCCATGTGGGCTCCATAGCAAGATCGGTCTTTGGGACAGTGTGGATGATCAACACAGCATCCAAAGATCTGGATTCCAGCCCCACTCTAAAGTGACCTTCAACAGATCCCTGAGCTGCTTTGAGTCTCTGGTTTCTCATCTCAGCCCAGATGCTCTAGAATTTTCCCAGTGCCCAGATTTTTATCAGAGAAGGATGTTTTACTAAAAAAATACAAGTGGGTAGCATTTCTTTAACTAGTTTTTGGTTGATGCCAGAGGCCTTTAGCTTTTAAATTCTTAATAAAAAGTCTATGCTGGGCCTCCCTGGTGGTGCCAAGGGGTTAAATCTCAACAAAGTTGGGCTTCTGCCTTGGTGGAGCCATTCTGAGAGCAGAAGAGGCTAGATTTAGAGCCAGGCACAAGCTCACCCCCTTCTCACCATACAAGATACCAATGGGAAGAATTACACCCCAAGATGAGTCCTGCACCCAGTGCACCCCTGATCAGCATGCTCTTGGTGGCTATCTTGGGAAAATGGATGTGGGAATAGTTGGCAATAGTTGGCAATATTCCAACAAATAGTTGGAATTCGGTGAGCTAATAGAACTTGGCATGTGTAATTGGGCATCCAAATGAATAGGAAAAAAACTATTCCAGAATGACAAAGTCTGTTCCATTTTTTGGGGAAAAGGACACATCTCCTCGTCCCGGTGCAACCACCTACTTCTCATGCAAAGCACAACCATTGACTTTTAACAAATTGAACAAGGAACACAGACACACCAGTGGCCTCCTCCATCCATCTGCAAAGCCTGCTGCTTCGTGTTACTTTTTCATCGCTTATTTTTCCTCACAGAGTCTCTGGAGCCCAGCAGCATTAGCCCCATGGCCATGCAGGAAAAAAACTATTGACTTTATTTCATGAAAATTCTCACACCAACGCCTGAGCTGGACAGTTAATTTTTACCCTCAGCTACAAGGGTTTCTGGTTTTTGTTCACGATCTGTTAGCGCCCATATTAGCCATTTTTCTTTAACTTCCTCATCTGTAAAATGGGAGTAGTAGTGGTGCTCTCTTCCAAAGAGCACCATGAGGATTATATTGCCCTGTGAGGCTCACAGTGAGAGGGCAGAGTGTGGACATCACACACACACACACACACACACACACACACACACACACACACCCGCCGGGCTGAGTGTGGACATCACAAACACACACACACACACACACACACACGCACACACACCCCCGCCGGGCTGTACCCTCGTAGGGGGAGGAGGAAGCCGACTGACAGGAAGATTTCAAACCTGTTTCACACCACGGACCATTAGGAATCTGAAGAAGGCATTTGGGGGGGAAAAGTGCACACACCCCTAACTATCTGACAATACTGGGAGGTGGGAGAAGACATCTGAATCTCACTTGCAGACCTTTTTAAAATCCACACCCCACAAGTGAAAGACCGCTGAACTGAACTCACATTATGCAAATTTACCATCTGGTCTGGTGATTGTTAGAGAATCAGCTCTGCTCCTTCCCAGGTCCAAGAGTTGGGAGAAGGGCCTCTCTCTGACCACAGGTGTCTTAGCTTTGTAAAGTGAGCCCAATTCCATCCTCCTGTTTCCACCCCTAAACCCTGAAGGCTGTTAACTGTTCACCCTCAGACACAGGAGAGTTTCAGCATCAGTAAGTGCAAAGCTGAGGATCTAGTGATTTAGGCCATTGAAATTCATGGCACATTCCTCTAAACAAAGGACTTTCTCATTCCACTGGGGAGAAGACACAATAGTTACCAGTCAGCTTACTAATGAAGGGAAAAAGGATATGTAAGAGCAGCCAGGAAATGAGTATTTTTGATGAGAGTCAGAATTAAGCCATATTACACAAACTTACCTCTCTGAGTACTTGAGAGAAAAGAGAACACACACACAACTTATATTTGTTCTCAAGTGACGGAAAACCAGAGCTGTGTTAGGGTTTGGGGGTATGAAGTTCAGGGCATTGCCCTACGATGATGTTAATTCCACTTGATGTAGGAAACTGAGCCAAAAAGCCACCGATACCCAGAGGGCTGCTCCCAGTCACTGGTATCTGTGAATATTCAGAGACTTCGATCCAGAGGAGGGAGGATGACAAGGGAAAGTAGTTTCTCAGCCCAAAGTGCCACAAGCAACTGATTAGACAGACAGACAGACAAAACTCCCTGTCTGAACCACAGTGTGCCCGAGGATGGATTCCCTTCAACCCCACAAACCCAGCGCCGTATTTTTCAGTCTGTTTCTGAATTTTTAAGATTTAACGCTCTCACCATACAGGCAATACCCATTTCTTTGTGCAGATAAATGCAGAGTACCAGTGCAGACAGCACACAAAGCCAAGCGATTGGCTTTCACTTGAATTTTGGAAGCTTTCAAGTAAGTACCAGTATCTCAGACAGCCTGTAAACGCGACACTAAACAG